TGTGCATTTCTGAGTCCTACTATCTTAATTGTTTACAACAAATGTGTATTATTTTGGAATTAAAAAAATTTGACTTTGGGTGGTGGGTTTTAAATAAAATAAAGTCTGGTTTAGAACACAGGTCTGAATTGGTTTATGGCACCTAAGAACTTGTGCATGGCTCTACATCACAGAAATATGTAGAGAGAGGATTTCCCTGAATTATATCATTTATGAATATTTACAGGAAAAAATAAACTGAAACACAAAAAGATAATGTGATTTTTCTCATGCTGGGACTTCTTAGAATAGTACTTTGAGCCCCACAGTTATTGATTCAATACTGAGGAATAAGTACATGAATATATTGATCTCCAACTTACACATTTGGAAACCAACAACATTGCTTTGTGAAAAATGGCAACTGTTTAGAGTAGAGGGAAATCTTTTTTATGACATGAACAAGAGTATTTCTTGGTGACAAATGTGATGCTGATAAAAAAGACACAGAGCTCTAGCCAGTTTGGCTTGGTGGATAGAGCGTTGGCCTGCTGACTGAAGGGTCCCGGGTTCAATTCTGGTCAAGGGCACATGTCTGGGTTGCAGGCTCGATCTTTAATAGGGGGTGTGCAGAAGGCAGCCAATCAATGATTATCTCTCATCGTTGATGTTTCTATCTCTCTCCCTCTCCCTTTCTCTCTGAAATAAAAAAATAAATAAAATTTAAAAAAAAGAAACAGAAAATTACAGGCTAGCTCTTTCTCAAGAAAACAATTCAAGTATAAGTCTCTAAAATATTACCTCTAGTTCCTTTTGCATATATTAGAATGCTCAGTAAATTCTTTGAATAGACAGGTCCCTTCCATTTATTTTACAAGTATTATTGAACACTTACGTGGGAGTGCAGCAGTAAGTCAATGAGACAAATTCTCTGCACTTGCAGAGCTTATAGTCTAGTGGAGAAAACACAATAAACAAGAAAAGACATAAATAAAGGATATACTTTCAGGTAAAGTATAATGTATATATATAAAAGGCTAAGTGACTGTCCGACCAGCCCACCAACCAGTTGGTATGGCACACACTGATCACCAGGGGACAGATGCTCAATACAGGAGCTGCTGAGCTGCAGTGACTTGGCAGCAGCGGTTCTCATCATTGATGTTATAATCTCTCTCGCCCTTCCTCTCTGAAATCAATAAAAATATTTTTAAAAATAAAATAAGTAAATAAAAAGTGACATTTGAGCAGGAATATGGATGGGGGGAGGCATTCAGAGTTCTGAGGGGAAAGTATTACAGGAGGGACAACAAGAGTCAGTGCCCTGAACAAGAATAAGAATCCCTTCTTTTCCTGAAAAGGTAAATATCCCCCAAAAGAGCTCTCAAAGTTTAGTATGTTATGGATTCACTCCTGTTGCTGTTGTGCTTTTGTTTTGTTTTGTTTTTATTTTTTTTAAATCTTTATTGTTGAGATTATTATGGATGTCCCTCTTTTTCCCCCCCATAACTCCCCTTCACCTGGTTCCCACCCCACCCCAGGCCCTCGCCACCCTATTGTCTGTGTCCATAGGTATTTCATACATGCATATAAGATCTTTGTCTAATCTCTTCCCGAAACCCCCCGCCCCCACATTCCCTTCCCTCTGAGAATCACCAATCTGTTTCATTTCCATGCCCCTGATTTCTATTCCATTCACCAGTTTATTCTGTTCATCAGATTTTTTATTCGTTTGATTTTTAGATTCACTTTTTGATAGATACGTATTTGTTGTCACTTTGTTGTTCATAATTTTTTATCTTTACCTTTTTCTTCTTCTTCCTCTTCTGAAAGAATACCCTTCAGCATTTCATATAATACTGGATTGGTGGTCATGAACTCCTTTAGCTTTTTCTTGTCTGTGAAGCTCTTTATCTGACCTTCAATTCTAAATGATAGCTTTGCTGGGTAGAGTAATCTTAGTTGTAGGTTCTTGCTATTCATCACTTTGAATATTTCTTGTCACTTCCTTCTGGCCTGCATAGTTTGTGTTGAGAAATCAGCTGACAGTCGCATGGGTACTCCCTTGTAGGTAACTAATTGTTTTTCTCTTGCTGCTTTTAAGATTCTCTCTTTGTCTTTTGCTCTTGGCATTTTAATTATGATGTGTCTTGGTGTGGTCCTCTTTGGATTCCTCTTGTTTGGGGTTCTCTGCGCTTCCTGGACTTGTAAGTCTATTTCTTTCACCAGGTAGGGGAAGTTTTTTGTCATTATTTCTTCAAATATGTTTTCAATATCTTGCTCTCTCTTTTCTTCTGGCACCCCCATAATTCAATGTTGGTAAGCTTGAAGTTGCCCCAGAGGCTCCTTATACTATCTTCATATTTTTGGATTCTTTTTCCTTTTTGCTCTTCTGGTTGGGTGTTTCTTGCTTCCTCATATTTCAAATCATTGAGTTAATTCTCGGGATCCTCTAGTCTACTGTTGAATTCCTGTATATTATTCTTTATTTCAGTCAGTGTTTGTTTAATTTCTGACTGGTCCTTTCCCAGTTTTTTGGCATTCTCACTATGATCCTTGAAGGTCTCACTAAGTTCCTCAGAGGTTTCTAGAATATTCTTGAATAATCTTATAACTGTGGTTTTGAACTCTATATCCAGTAGTTTGCTTTCTTCCAATTATTTTCATTTGTGACATGTTTCTTTGTCTCCACATTTTGGCTGCTTTCCTGTGTTTGTTTCTATGTATTGGGTAGCTGCTAACTCTCCTTGAGTTGAGTGGCCTTGTGTAGTGGGTGTCCTATAGGGCCCAGTGGCTCAGCCTCCCCAATCACTTGAGGTGGACACTCTTGGTGCACCCCTTTGTGGGCTGTGTGCACAGTCTTGTTGTAGTTGAGCCTTGATTGCTGTTGGTGTCACTGGGAGGAATTGACCTCCAGGCCAATTGACTGTAAGAACCAGCTGTGTCTACACTGGAAGAGCTGCTGTGCAGGAGACACCCTTACGGAGCACAACTTGCTTCAGTGGGGCTCTGGTGCTCACTGAGTCTGCCCCTTGAGTGTGTTGCTTATGGATGTGTAGACTTGTAATCTGGTATGGTCTCACACTGACCATTGGGTACACTGGTTCTTGGGTCTCTAGGGAGGTGCAAAGTCAGCCACTGCCTGGGGCCATCCAGCAGGAGCTACAGAGAGATCTGCAGATTCCTCCTCTTTATATTGGGTTTGGAAGTTCCCAGATGAGGCCCAGCTGTGAAGCAAGGCAGGCTGGTGCTGGTGCTGGCATTGGGCATTTTATTGATATCTTTAGGGCTCTCTGACCCAGCTGCAGCTTGTTTGACAGGTTTTAGGCTGAGAAATGACAGGCCATTCATCTGCAAAAGCTGCTATACACAGCTTGGGTTGGGTTGTAAATTGGGTGGGGAGGGTCTCAGGGAATTCCAGGGCTGAGCAAACAGAAATGGCTGCCAGTCAGCCCTGCACCAGGGAGGTCCCAGCATGGGAACAATGACTGCTGTGAGCATCTGCCATTGGAAGAAAGCTGAGCCCGCGTTCTTGCCCCCATGCCAGACAGTCCAGTTCTCCCCTTATGTGTCTGGGTCCCCCAGAGTCTGGCCTGGCACTGAGCTCAGAGGAAGCAGGAACTTGTAAGTTCAGTTAGTGGTGCTGGCCTTTTAAGAGGAGCTTCTGGATCTCCAGAAGCCTGTGTGTCACTCAGCCCCAATCTGCACTGGTTTTTACAGTCTGTAGTTCTTATGGGCCTGTAGGGACTTCTTTCCCCAGCTCTGGGACCCTAGGCTAGGGGGCTGGTGTGGGGCTGGAACTCCTTGCTCCTCCAGGTGGCCTCCCTAGAGGCGACCTCCCAATTAAAAAAGCGACACACCCGGATTTAGTTGTAATTTTGATGTGGTTGTGGGAGGCAGCAAGTACAGGCATTTACCTACGCCACCATCTTGGTTCCTTCTGCCTGTTTTGTTTTTAACATATATTTTTATTGATCTCATAGAGGAAATGAGAGGGAGAGAAAGATAGAAACATCAATGATGAGTGAGAAACATTGATCATCTGCCTCCTGCATGCCCACCATGGGGGATGGAGCCCACAACCCAGGCATGTGCCTTGACCAGGAATTGAACCTTGATCTCCTGGTTCATAGGTCGATACTCAACCACTGAGGCACTCCAGCTGGGCTGTTGTTTTAATGTTTATAATGCTTAGTTATATAAATTTTTCTCTATTACTAACAAATTTGAAAATGAATTTTACTTAGGATCTAAGTATCCTACAAAGGTACTATCTTATCTATATGCCACCAAAAATACCTCTTGCCTATAACAAAGGCGTGGAATCCAATTCTTGAGTCTAAGCTGCTCATTCCACAGAGATACATAAAGCCCAACCAGAAGTACCCTTGGACTTAAACCCCACCCCAAGCAGTGACTGGGAGGGTCATTAAAGGTACAGAGAGGAGCTGCAGAAGACACCTTTGGCATTCTCAGCTGTTAGCCCCAACTGTTGCAGAACTGGTATCTAGCCTATACCCCAAGCTCTGATGGAGACAGAAATGCTCGTCTCTACTTCACAGTGGGGAGACTGAGGCTCAGAGAAGTAAGTGGCTTACCCGGGATCACACAGAAAGTCAACTCCAATTCCTAAACTTCACTCTGTTGCCTAAGCCACATTCCAGACCAGGGACCACATGGGGTAGAACCCCTGCTCCATTTCAGGAAATGGGATTGATTTTTCATTTACACAAAAATGAAAAATAAACACCAGATGTTTGAAAACATTGTAACTCATCCTTACTGGAACTTCAAAGTGCAGTCCGCCTAAGAAAATTAAATTAGAAAATCCACATAGCAAAAAAAACCCCACAATATTTTGAATGAAATGCACTTTGTCTTTCTCTCTCACACACACACAAACAATATCTCATTGTTTCTTCTTCAGGGAGCAGCTGTGAAGGAAATTGGGGGAGGGAGATGGTCAAAACATTTCATCTTTGTGTTTTATACAGAGCTAAGCTTTTAGCCCAGCCCTCCTGGAACTGCAGGGGGGTGTGGCATGCATTAAAATTAAACGTCAGTGACCTGATGAAGCTTATAAAATAACCTGGGAGAAGCCAGTCACCCAAACAAGGCATCTCCAATTGGGTGATTTTGCATCTGGAAACTGCCTTCATCTTGATAAAAAGGTATGCACTGTAGTTTTAATTTTTATTTAGGATGAATAATGCTTAAAACAGAGACAGTCTTGTTTTTCTATCGCCCCTTTTCAGCTAAAAATTCATAACTAACATGATTATGAGACTGACATGCTGCCTGCTGCTTTAAGAGGGCCACTTAACTAACATTATCAAGGGCTTGTGCCAGTAGCTTTGCAGACTTGATCTAATTTTCCTCAAACAAACTGAGGTTCAGATATCTGAAGCAACAGGCCCAAGATAAGACGGCCAACAAATGCCAGAGCTCGGGTGCCAACTCAATGTTGACTCACCTCAAAATATTCTACTTGCAATATGTACCCTCTCTGTACTAACTGAGACAGTTGAGAGAGCTTTCCATACACCAATACTATATTAGATGAATTCTCGGGCTTATTATCCAAATGCTCATTACAGTAAAATACTGAAAAGCGAACTGGAATTGTGTGGATAGAAAATGCGTTTAACAATATGACACAAAAATGTGTTCTTCAGAAGATATGTTTTCTTGTTAGATTCAATAGCTAGATGAGTTTTCAAGACTCATTTGCTTGTGGAAACATATTGTATGTTACCACGTGAAATCTAAAAATCTAGTCCCTAATGTTCTTCAGCTTTTTGAGATCAGAGACCAGGTCCATGCTAACAGGCAGGTGTTAGGAGTGCAGTCTTTGGAGCTCTGGCAGAAGTTCTGGCTCCACAGCTTACCAGGACATAAGCTGGGCAAACTGACCTCACTGAGCACAAAGAGAAGGTCAGCGTTGGATTCTTCCAGACGGATGGTTTGGAGATTCAGTGCCTGGCACATGTAAAATCCCGAGGCCAGGGCATCTGGGTGGGAAGCTCAATGAATGTGAGCAGTGGTTCTCAGAGTCAGTGCTGGCCCAGTGGATGCCCCTTAGAATTATCCTTAAATTATTTACTATTCAATTAAAATAGTATTTAAATTACATATATTTTAAAAGTATTTAAACTCTTCTCATTAGGACAATCTTCCCGTTCGTATTAATTAGAAGATGCAAAAATATGTTATATATACCCAGGTTCATAGGTACATGTTAATGATGTGATTTATCCTCAGCAGGTACTCAGTGTTAGAATTAGAATGGAAAGGGCATTGAAAAATTATGGATTTTATGAACCCTTTCTCTCACAAAAAAAAGTTTTAACTATAGGAATAAAATTCCTGCCATAAAGAGGTATCTTTGGGAGAGATGCAATCAAGGGGAATTAGCCTTGCTCTGAAATCCTCCTACAGAGCTAAAAAACATATTTCAGCCCACAGTAGAACATTTTGTAATAAGAGAGTTGTCAGCGCAAGATGTGGAACTGACTTTTGGTGTAACTGTCACGTGGTGAGGTGAGACTCATCAGGCTATGGAGGTGGTGTGCAGAAGGAAGCCTGGCTCAGAGCCGCTGCAGAACGGGCAGCTGGAGAGGGGGTGCGAATCCCAGCTCTCTGCCCTCTGGGCCTCAGCTTCCCACATGTACCCCTGGGGGGGGGGGGGGCGCGGGGCGGGGAGGGAGGGGGGAGGAGAGGGGAGGATTGGATAAATGGCCTCTAAGGTCCTATCCAGTGTTTGGGACCCTCTGGATGTGTATAATGTGTGGCCCTCCTTTGAGGTTAGATCTCCTGGGCAAGGCACTGAGTGTGGCGCCTACTGGGGGCCAAAAGTAGATCGAGCTCCAGTGGTTCCAAGAGCCTTTTGGAAATGGATGCAAATTTTTGTAGGTTTAGGCTGGGTTTCTGCAAATCCATCATCCCTGAAAAAGTTACATGGTGGTAGGGCTGATGGGAAATGGGGCTTCAGAGACTAAGGGAGGTGGGCCCCCTACCCCTGCAGACTTGCTCAAGGGGCGGGCACTCAGCCATCACCCCTCCCCCCACCGCCACTGGCAGCGTTTACTCGTTATGTAATTTTTCTTTTGAAAACCAGCCAGAAAACTTCCAGAAGAAAAGCTATTGATCATTAAAGTTATTTGAAGGTTTAGAGACTCATTATACAGTGGTGATAATTATTCCTATTATGACACATCCTTTTAAATGCTCAGATCTGAGAACATTTTGCTTGCGTGGATTCAGTCCTCCTCATCACAAGGAGAAAGGCAAAGAGCTGGAAATAGCTCTTGTGCAGCTACAGGCAGGGAGTCACGCAGAAGAGAACAGACTGAAAGCAAGTCAGTGAGAAAAGCAGGGAGCAGCCTGGGAGCAGACCCTGCCAGCAGCCCTGCATTGCCCCACCCACTCCCACCCCCACCCCCGCCCTTACCCCCGCCCCCACACCCTCCCACTGCCCCTCCTCAAGGCAGCTTCTGCTGCCAGAAGGGTACTTTGGGCAGAAATACTGGTTGCAAAGTTGCATGCCAGCTACTCGTCCTCTAGTTAATTGCACGTCTATGAAATATATCCCCAAAAGAATGTAAAAAGAAGAAAAGAAAAAAATCAGAAACAATCATTTGTTTCTGCTTTTCATAGTAATAGTAACTAGCATTTATTGAGCATTTTCTCTGTATCAGACGCTGCTCTAAATGCTCTATGATTTCATTTAATTCTCACAAAACTTCATGAGGTGGGTGATTACTATTCCTACTTAATAGACCAGGAAACAGAAGCATAAGTTGGACACAGTTATACTTACTAGTAGTAGGTGGCAAAGCCAGAATTCAAAACCTTGACCGGGACCTCGCTGCTCCCTGTCAAGGTTTCCAGCCCTACTCCTGGGTTGATAAACAGCTCAGCAAGATTGGGGCAGGGGTGAGGGGTGCGGGCAGGAAGGCATTTCTCTTATGAGTTCCATAAGATACTAAACGTTGTAGTGGTTTGTTTTCATTCTTTCTCTCTCAGGAGAGCTGACAGCTTCAATCTCTCCCTTTGCTGTCTGCTGCCCCCACATTGTTTCTGTTCACTCAAATATATACCATGCCTGACACCACATGGTTCTGTGGAGGGGCCCGAGGAGAAGCAGAAACAGTGTCCACCCTTGAAAAATGCCTAATTCGGTGAGGGGCAGTGGTTGCAGCACAAATCCAACAAACTAATATCAGGCAGGGTGTGCTCTACGCAGGTGCAAAGGCTCTAGAGCAGCGGTTCTCAACCTGTGGGTCGCGACCCCTTTGGGGGTCAAACGACCCTTTCACAGGGGTCGCCTAAGACCATCGGAAAACACATATATAATTACATATTGTTTTTGTGATTAATCACTATGCTTTAATTATGTTTAATTTGTAACAATGAAAATACATCCTGCATATTAGATATTTACATTATCATTCATAACAGTAGCAAAATTACAGTTATGAAGTAGCAACGAAAATAATTTTACGGTTGGGGGTCACCACAACTTGAGGAACTGTATTAAAGAGTCGCAGCATTAGGAAGGTTGAGAACCACTGCTTTAGAGAGAGGCTCACCAGGGGGCGGGGTAGGGGGGTGGGGGGTAGGGGGGTGGGGGGTAGGAGGGTGGAGGGGCCCTCACAGCAGTGCTGACAGTTCACGTGGCCCCTGGGGGATACCGGGCTGAGTGGGAGAATTGCCCACAAAGGGACCGGCCAGCCCAGAAATCTTTCTCCAGAGATTGCTCAAAAGACTCCCGCTGCTTTGCTTCCTCCAATTCCAGGTTCCATCTCAGCCACCAGCCCCAAGATGGTGACTGCCCTGCTGCTGCTTTCAGCACTGGCCGGCCTCTTCCGTGCGGCAGAGGGACAAGCATTCCATCTCGGGAAGTGCCCAACTCCTCCTGTGCAGGAGAATTTTGACGTGAATAAGGTGTGGTAAAAGGCTAACCTCCCGCTTGTTTTCTGTCTCCTGTTTGAACGGCACCCTACAAGGCTCGGTTATATCGTTCTGCTTTGATGGCCACAGCAAGCCTGGGGGGACCTACTTACCTTACGTGTGCTTCTGAGACAAGAACTGGGGGCAGGGAGTTTCTGTAAGCCAAAACCAGGAAGCACCAGTGGCCATGTAGGAAAGTGAGACAGAGAAGGCAGAAAAGCAATAAAGCCTGCTTTCAGGATCAGGCTACTCTGTGAACAACGGGGTTCACTCCTGCTGAGGATCCTCTGAAATGTGCGGAATGTACCTCAGATTGTCCCAGGGATGGGTGCAAGTGAGCCGTGGGAGCTCCTGTGGCAAAGCTGTCTGGCAGAGAAGGAGACCGAGGGGCAGTGTGTGTGGGAATTGTCTGTGGCTGGAGTAAACCCAAAACAAAGGTGGACGCAGAGGACACGGGACCAGGCATCAACAGCAGTTGCTGCAGTAGCATTGTCCCCCATTCTACTGATGAGGACGCTGAATGTTGAAGCGTTTATAACCTACCCAGTCACACAGCTACTGAATGCAGACTGGGATTCAAAACTCGGCTCCCCAGCAGTGCAGAACACCCACTCAAACAGGGCCTAGGAGAGGACAGAACTCCCTAACGCAGTGGTTCTCAACCTTCCTAATGCCGCGACCCTTTAATACAGTCCCTCATGTTGTGGTGACCCCCAACCATAAAATTATTTTCGTTGCTACTTCATAACTGTAGTTTTGCTACTGTTATGAATCATAATGTAAATATCTGATATGCAGGATGTATTTTCATTGTTACAAATTGAACATAATTAAAGCATAGTGATTAATCACAAAAACAATATGTAATTATATATGTGTTTTCCGATGGTCTTAGGTGACCCCTGTGAAAGGGTCATTCGACTCCCCAAAGGGGTCACGACCCACAGGTTGAGAACCGCTGCCCTAAGGGGCTTTCTTGTTACCTGCACTAAAGAGATATCAATATAACCAGCTCACCCATGTATGGCTTTTCTTCCTCAAATTAGGCCCAGCCTTAATGAATACCTGTGTGGCCAGGGGGATGGAGCAGCAGAAAGAGGTGCTTTTGGGTGGCATGATTTAAAGGCTCTCATTGTTACTAACTCAAGGCTAGAATCTCCCCATCCTATATAATAAAGAGGGACTATGCTAATTGACCCTGATGCCGTCACAAAGATGGTAGCACCCATAGCCAATAAGGAGGGGATATGCTAATTGACTGCCTGCCCTCAAAGATGGCGGCACCCACAGCCAATAAGGAGGGAATATGCTAATTGACTGCCATGCCTCCAAAGATGGCAGCACCCATAGCCACAAGATGGCTGGCAGGGGAGGGCAGTTGTGGGCAATCAGGCCAGCAGGAGAGGGCAATTAGGGGCTACCAGGCCAGCAGAGGAGGACAGTTGGGGGTGACCAAGCCTGCAGGGGAGCAGTTAGGCATCAATCAGGCTGGCAGGGGAGTGGTTAGCGGGTGATCAGGCTGGCAGGCAGAAGCAGTTAAGGGCAATCAGGTAGACAGGCAGGTGAGCACTTGGGAGCCAGCAGTCCCGGATTGTGAGATGGATCCCAGATTGGAGAGGGCGCAGGCTGGGCTGAGGGACATCCACCCCCGTGCACAAATTTTGTGCACTGAGCCTCTAGTTAAGATATATTCTCCTTTGTAGAAGTTTGTATCTCTCTTTTAAGAAGCAATTCATGCCCTCAGTGGATAGTGTGTCAGCTTGTGGACTTGAAGGGTCCTGGGTTCAATTCCGGTCAAAGGCACATGCTAGGATTATGGGCTCGATCCCCAGTAGGGGACATGCAGGAGACAGCCGATCAATGATTCTCTCTCATCATTGATGTTTCTATCACTCTCTCCCTCTCCTTCCCTCTCTGAAATCAATAAAAATATATTTTAAAAAAATAAGAAGCAACTCACTTGTTATGAATAACATTGAAGTTGTTATCAGTCACTCACAGCTCAGTGTGAATGAGTGTTGGGACCTCATAGAGCATGGATAAAGGTAGAGAATGAGAGAAGAGAGCTCAAAGCCTGAAGGGGGTAGGGAGAAGAGACACCATCAATAGAGTTCAAACAGGAAGGTAGGTAGGACAGATACAGTACACCAAAGTCTACATTGACTTACTGCATTAATTATTAAGGCTGATTCCTTTATTCAGGTATAGGAGGCTTTACAGAAAAAAATCCAGAGAATTTGAGTTACATTTCAGTTTGGGGATAAAAATCCCAAGATACTTTGGAAATTATAATTGATCTGTATTTACAAAAGTCCTTTGAGATATAAAGCAGAGAGTTTTACTGAGATATAATCCATAAGCTATATAATTTACCTATTTAAAGTGGTTTCACTTTCAGTGGATTTTAGTATATTCAGTTATGAAACTATCACGGCAGTCAATTTTAGAACATTTTTAGCATCTCAAAAAGAAACTCCATACCCATTAACAGTTACTCCCCACTTTCCCCCAACCTTCTCTGCCCCAGGCAATCAATAATCTATTTTCTCTCTGTATGGCTCTGCCTATTCGGGACATTTCATAGAAATGGAATCATACAATAGGTCTTTTGTGACTGACTTCTCTTACCAGCACAATGTGTTCAAGGTTCATCCATGTGGTAGTATAAATCAGTACTTCGTTTCTTTTCATTGCCAAATAATATCCTACTGTATGGGTTATGCAACATTTTATTCATCGGTTCATTTGGGTTGTTTACACTTTTTGACTATCAGGAATAATGCTGCTATGAGCATTTGTGCCCAGGATTTTTTGTTTGCTTGTTTGGTTTCATGGTCATACATTCTCAGTTTTCCTGGATATATATCTAGGAATAGAATTGCTGGGTCATATGGTAACTCCACATTTAACATTTTGAGAAACTGCCAGGCTCTTTTCCAAAATACCTGCACCATTTTATATTCCCACCAGGAGTGTATAATTCTCATTTTTCCATATCTTTGCCCATACTTTTTATTGTCATATTTCTGATTATAGAAATTTTTAGTGGAATTTTTATGAAGAAATTTTTATGAAGTGGTATCTCATAGTGGTTTTGATTTGCATTCCCTTAATAGCTAATGATGTTGAGCATCTTTTCATGTGTTTATTGGATATGTGTCTGTTGAAGTCTATTGCCCATTTTCAGTTGGGTTATTTATCTTTTAATTATTGGGATATAAGAGTTCTTTTTTAAAAAAAATATATTTTATTGATTTTTTACAGAGAGGAAGGGAGAGGGATAGAGAGTTAGAAACATTGATGAGAGAGAAACATCAATCAGCTGCATCCTGCACTCCTCCTCCCCTTACTGGGGATGTGCCCGCAACCAAGGTACATGCCCTTGACCGGAATCGAACCCGGGACCCTTCAGTCCGCAGGCCGACGCTCTATCCAGTGAGCCAAACCAGCTAGGGCTAGAGTTCTTTATATATTTTAGATACAAATTCCTATCAGATATATGATTTGCAAGTTTCTTCTCCCATTCCATAGATTCACTTTACTTTATTGACACATAAAAGTTTTTAATATTAATGACTTCTAATTTATCTATTTTTTTCTTTTGTTGCTTCCATTTTTGGTGTCATATCTAGAAAGCCATTGCCACCCTGGCTGGTGTTGCTAAATGGTTAGAGTGTAAACCCACACACGAGGGTCACAGGTTCGATTCCTGGTCAAGGGCTCATATCTGGGTTGCAGGCTTGATCCCCGGCCCCCGTCAGGATGCATGCACTTGGTAACCAATCGATGTGTCTCTCTCCCTCCCTTCTTTCTTTCTACCCTCTCTAAAAGTCAATGTAAAAAATATCCATGTGAAGATGAATAACAACAACAAAAAAGCCATTGCTTAATCCTAGGTTATAAAGATTTACTACTATATTTTCTCCTAAAATAATTTTAAGTTAAATTTTGTATATAGTATAATACAGGGGCCCAACTTATTCTTTCACATGTGGATATTCAGTTGGCCCTATTTGTTAAGAAGACTTATCCTTTCCTCATTGAATAGTTTCAGCATTCTTGCTGAAAATCAATTGATCATTTATGTAAGAGTTTATTTTTGGACTCTCAATTTTGTTCTATTGATCTATATGGTTATCCGTATGCCAGTATGATACAGTCTTGATAACTATAGCTTTGTGGTTAAGTTTTGAAATCTGAATGTATGAGTCTTCCAACTTTGTCTTTTGGCTATTTTGGGTCCTTTGCATTTCCACATGAATTTTAGGATCAGCTTGTCAATTTCTGTAAAGAGTTTGTTGGGAGTTTTAATAGAAATTACATTAAATCTGTGTGTATATCAATTGCCATCTTAAAAATTTTGTCTTCCAACTCATGAACTTAAGATATCTTTCCATTTACTTAGGTCTTATTTAATTTCTTTCAACAATGTAGTTTTCAGAGTACACGTTTTATGCTTTTCTGGTTAAATTTACTAATATTTCTAAGCATTTTATTTTTTGATGCTATTATAAATGGAATTTTCTTAATTTCACCTGCAGATTGCTCATTGTAAGTGTAGAAAGAGATTTGATTTCTGTATATTGATCTTGTAGCCTTTAATTTTGATGAATTCATTTATTCTAATACTGTGTGTGTGTGTGTGTGTGTGTGTGTGTGTGTGTACCTTCGGATTTTCTGTGTACAAAAATTATGTCATCTGCAAATAGAGAGTCATACTTCTTCCTTTCCAGGATTCTCTGTAGGCATTGCATTCTCCTATGTAGGAAGAGAAATGGAGACCTTAGAATCTGGGAAAAGCAAGAAAATAGAGTCTCCTCTACAGCCTCTGGAAAGGAGCATAACCTTGCCCACATCTTGGCTTTAGCCCAGTGAGACCTGTGTCAGACTTCTGACCTACAGACCTATAAGAAGTAAATTTGTGTTGTTTTACGCAAACTGTAGCTTAATATATACACTATTTGCACCTGACTCTTTTTTTATTTTTTTAAATATATATTTTATTGATTTTTTTACAGAGAGGGAGGGAGAGGGATAGAGAGAAGCATCGATGAGAGAGAAATATAGATCAGCTGCCTCCTGCACACCCCCCCTACTGGGGATGTGCCCACAACCAAGGTATATGCCCTTGACCGAAATCGAACCTGGGACCCTTCAGTCCACAGGCCGACGCTCTATCCACTGAGCCAAACTGATTAAGGCTACACATTACCCTTTTAAAAGAGGATGTATAACATTCCACTGTTTAAATGTGTCATTATTTACTTACTCGGCTCCCTACTAATGCTCCCTGAGACTGTTTCCTGTCTTTTATTATTACTAATTGTACTGCAACAAATAATCTTGTGCATACATCATTCCTTTCACTACATTTCCAGAAGTGAAATTTCTGGGCCAAACAGTATATGTATATTTAGGTGTGCTAGGTATTGCCAAATTACCCTCCGTGAAGGTTGTAAATTGGTTCAGTCTCTATGCCAGGCAATGTATGGAAGCCCACAGTTGCACACTTCCTTTAAAGTTGACTCTGTACACCAGAGTTATGAACTGAGAGCAGGCCCCAGTGGAAGAATGATACAGGTCTTCTAAATCCTGATCATCTGCCCAAAGCCTCTGAGACCAATTCCCTATGTGGGGTCACATGAAGAGAACTCAGTTACCCCTGGAATCCCACAGTGAACATATCTAACTTTGTACACAACTCAAAGATGCCTTGAAGAATCATAAAACGTTTGAGATGGCACCTTACATCATCTAATCCCTTACTTTGACAGAGATTCGAATTTCACATAGATTTTTGTCTGAAGGGGACACTGAGAGCGCATCTAAATAAAGAGCACTTTAGGAATAGAAGGTGGCATTCAGTCAATGCCTACTCATCCGAATCACTTATTCTCCTCTGAATCGTTATCTTGCTCAGTTGCTACTGGGAACAAGGCAGCCCATTTTGCCTGGTTTCCCCAGGAAAGGGCTCTGCTCTGAAAGACAACAATAGAGGAGAGTTTGCAGGTCCCCAGAGAGCCACAGGGTTTTGCTCTACTTGTTGTTGTCTCTGCAGTATCTTGGAAGATGGTATGAAATTGAGAAGATCCCAGTGAGCTTTGAGAAGGGAAGCTGCATCCAAGCCAACTACTCACTAATGGAAAACGGAAACATCAAAGTGATAAACCAGGAGCTGAGGTGAGTGGCTGTGGCGTCAAAGGCATTGCACATCCTGCAGAGAGCTGTCCTGGAGGGACCGGGTGTCCTTGCCGTCTGGTTCAGGGAGGGTTCGGCCATGGCTGGGTCAGACTGCCTGCTCACAACAGGCCCTGAGAGGAACGCTTTTGGCAGGCAGGACGGTGGGGACGAAGAGTCACCCATTTCCCTGCCCACTTGCTGACCACCTATTGTGCACTGGATCCTGCAAGAGGCACTGGGCACTCAATGGTAACCCAAACTTCAGGGTTCCTGTTCTCACCGCAAAATAGATACTCTGGTAGCAAAGGACATCAGGGACCATCTTGTCTGACCTCCAAACCAAGAGAGAAGCCCTTCCTATACAGCTACTGCCAGAGGCATCCAGCTTTGCTTGCAGCTTCCAGGAACTGGGAGCGCATCACCAGCCATGACAGTTTATCCCATCTCCCGACAGCTTCAGCTATTAGAAAATGCCTTTTCCTATTAAGCAAGGATCAAATACATACGGAGCCACATACTAGGTTATGTGAACAGGATATCCTATACAAGTGCACCTTTCTGTTACTGAAGGCTTTTCCCAGATTGATGTTTGATCCCCAAATTCACATTTTGAAAAGCAACCATAAACTTTAAAAAGCCTCAGGAAAGCTCCTACCCACCCTCCATCAACAAAGATAACAGCAACAATAAAAACAGTAACTAACAGTTATTAAGCATTTCCTATATGCAAGGCACTATTCTGCGTGTATATCTATAATAATAAATAAATAATATGCTAATTAGACTGGACATCCTTCCTGGACGAAGCCGGGGCTGCAGCTGTGGGATCCAGGCAGCCACCGTGGCTGCGATTGCCTACTCTCGCACGAATTTCATGCATCGGGTCTCTAGTGTATATATACATGTGTATGTACCTATATGAGTGTGTATGTACAGGGTGGGGCAAAAGTAGGTTTACAGATGTTCATATGGAAAATAATACAATAATTAATAAATAATTCAAGAATAAACTGTTTCACATAGTCACAGCTGTAAACCTACTTTTGCCCTACCCAGTATATTGATATAATCCCATAACAACCCTGAGGTAGTGCTATTATTAACCCCATTTTTATAGGTAAGGAAACTGAGGTACAGTGAAGTAAAGAAATTTGCCCAAGGGTCACACAGCTTATAAGTGATGAAGCTGAGATTCCAACCCAGGGAGAAGTGATGCACGAAGAGAACTGGAGACAGACCCAAAAAAAAACCAGAAAAGGCTGAGAATATAGGGTTGTCCTTCCAGTTCCCTATGGGCTCTGAGAATTGTGTTCAACTTCAAGAAAATAACTACAGCCCAGCCTGAAAGTTATTCAGGCTCAAAGGGACCTTCTGTGGCCATCCTATTATCCACTCAGCTTCCAACAATGGGTCGATTCCCTGACCTGCATAAACCAAAGAAACAAAGTAAGGACCTTGAGGGTCTCTAGGGAAAAATTTAGCTCATTCAGAGCCCAGGAAGGGTTACAGGAACTGAGTTGTAGACACCCAGAAGAGATCACAGGAATTCTGCAGGCCCTAACGTTGCAATGATTATTTCAAATATTTTGTCCCATTCTATGACCAAGAATCAGACAGTGACACAAATCCCAGCACCTATGTGATCTCCCCACCTCTCCTTCAGAGTTAGCCAGGATCCTGAGTGTTAGGTCTCCTTGCCTCTCGGGTCATACCTGGTTAAGGTACAAGGAGACATGAAGAAAGGTTTGCTAGTTCCGGAAAATGGTCTCATTTCTCCTTCCAGGAGTCCTGCAGTGAGTGGAGCAGAGAGTCTGAGCTAAACACTAGACACTGCCAGAGTATTTGAGGGACAAAGCAGCTGGCACAGGGTTGGGAGCTAAAGGGCTCAGGCTTTTGAGGAAGGCTGCCCGGCTTCAAATCCTGGTTCTGCCACTTACTAATGACAAGATCTTAGGTTAGTTGTAATAATCCTCTCAGCCTCCCACTCCATCTGGGTAAAATGGCAATAAGCCCTCCCCCCAGAGGGCTTTGTGACTAAGAGTGAGGCAACACATGTAAGGCACTTAGACCAGTGTTTGGCGTGTATTAATCTTTTAATCAATATTTCCTATTATTGTTCAACTGCTGCTACTTTTGAAAAATTCATGCATTTTCCCATGAACAAGTTATGAGTTTATGATCAGAGAGTGGTGTTTTAAAAAACGTTCTGGAGCACAATGCAAATGATAGTGAAAAGGGGAAAAGCCTGATGGGAAGAGACTAGTTTGTTGCTAAGCAACTGTATGCAGATAGAGATGGACCATCTTCCCAATGGCTGAGTTCCAGGTGAGAGAGCAGGGCTCTATCTCGAGCCCTAATTAAGGATAAGCAGACAAGGCATCCAGGATCAGCACAGTGGTTCCGACCCTCCCTTACCTGGTGCTTGTTGGCTGGTTTCTAGGATATTCATCACCACTAGCCAAAGCCTACTGACTTTCTGACACATACTATTGCTCTAAATTTAGTTCCCCACCTGGAGGACTGATTAACAGGCAGCTCCTCTCCCGGCTTCCTAGGAAGAGCACCCTGGCGTCTGAGCACCCTCCCTCTGTGCTGCCTCCATCCCCAGGCCTTTCTGCTCTCCCCGGGGTCCATGAGGTCACTGGGAGTTATCCAGAAATGAGGCTATCTCCCTCCAAAAGAGTGAAAGTATTTCACACACCCTAAGACCAGCACTTTTATATATGTACCATTTTATATACCACTAAGGAAGAAATGACACTGCCAATTGTAAGTGTAGGGTGGCATTAGTTGTAAGATGCACATTTCTTCATATTTAATGTCTCTAAGATCTGGATGCACCTGAGAATCACTGAAATAAGGTGTTTGCTCATTGCCTGCTTTACCTGGCGTACATTGAAATCTCCCACATTCAGTCAGAAGCTTGCTGAACTGAAAGGGGTCTCAGAGTTCATGTGTATGAACCCTTTTATGGGAAAGATGATCCCTAAGGCCAAAGAGGGTCTTGCAGATCTCCAGGCTCCATGTTTTGGCCGCTTCTATTTTACAAAAGTGATTCACTTTTTTTTAAAAAAGTGAATTCTCAGTGTACTGGGTTGTTTTGTTTGTTTTTCCTTTCCCTCCCTCCCCCCCTTTTTTTACTTCCTCTTTCTGGAGCCTTGCAGACCACTACCATACAGTCCAAAAACCAGTGTTGAAGTGCAAGGGCCTAATGTAGTGCCTAGAGCAGTGGTTCTCAACCTTCATAATGCCACGACCCTTTAATACAGCGCCTCATGTTGTGGTGACCCCCAATTTCATTGCTGCAAATTGAACATAATTAAAGCATAGTGATTAATCACAAAAACAATATGTAATTATATATGTGTGTTTTTCTGATGGTCTTAGGCGACCCTTGTGAAAGGGTCGTTCGACCCCCAAAGGGGTCCCGACCCACAGGTTGAGAACCGCTGGTCTAGAGCATTGCAATTGCTGCTTTTCATTTCCCCAAGGTTGTCTTCCTCCGCTTGGTCTCAGAGGCAGTCGCAAACTGAAGAGGAAAGACTAGAACTGGAGTCTAACCTACCTTGGAGATCCTCTTGAACCAGAAACCACAATGTTGGCCACTATGCTTCTTAAGTGTAACAAATCTTGCCTTTCGTCGGTTTTTGGCTTTCATGAGTTCAGGTTATTTTTTCTTTTTTAATTCATTGCAGATCTGATGGAACTGTGAACAAAATTGAAGGCGAAGCCTCCCAGAGCAACTTTACCGAGCCCGCCAAGCTGGGAGTAAAGTTTTTCTGGTGTAAGTATCCACTTCTCTCAGGAGGTTTCAGGGACAAGAGATAAGCAAACTGAGGGCTAGAGCCCTAAGCTGGATGCGGTTGTGTCCCATCTGCATGTCAATAATGATTCAATGCATAATTATTTATTGAGCACCTACTCCATGCCAGGTACTGAGCAAGTTGCTGGAGATGCAACGATGAGGAAGACAGAGCAGGCCCTTGCCCCTGAGGAGCCTACATCCTGGTGTGGATAGTGACAAATACCCAGGCCGTTTACTATCAAACGGTAGTGAGTGTTGCAATAGAGGAAACACAGATTGGCCCACACAGTGCTTGAGCAGTAGGAGACCCAATCCAGTCTTGTTTCCTAGAGGAAACGGAAGCCTAAAAAATTAGTAGTTATTAACAGAACAACTAGCATGTACAAAAGCTTAGAGATAAGAAATTGATAAGAGTAAAGGTAAGTCTGAGTCCTCGTTCTGTCTGCTACTTTCCAGCCACATTGTTGGGGTCCCTGAGAAATATTTAATTGCAGGCATTTGCCCTCTGAGTTCTGGACTAACAGAGGATTGCACATATGCAACAGAGAAAGTACCATATATTAGTTTTATTGCTGAATTAATTAGGTTAATTCAGCTCAGAACTGTGAGACTTTCTTTTTTAAAAAAATATATTTTATTGATTTTTTACAGAGAGGAAGGGAGAGGGATAGAGAGTTAGAAACATCGATGAGAGAGAAACATCGATCAGCTGCTTCCTGAACACCCCCTACCAGGGATGTGCCCGCAACCAAGGTACATGCCCTTGACCGGAATTGAACCTGGGACCCCTCAGTCTGCAGGCCGACGCTCTATCCACTGAGCCAAACCGGTCAGGGCTGTGAGACTTTCTAATGCCAAAAGTGCTTGGGAGCACCTCTCCCCACCTGTGGGGCAGACACAGAAGTGACCAGCTGCAAGAGGAATCACTACCCTCCTCCCCCACTTCCCCATTGATGAAGGGCCTAGAGTGGGCAGAGAGGAAGTTCTTATTCTTCTGTAGACCAAGATAGGAATGCTGGGAGGAGTAGAAAAGAGTTCTTCCCACACATATGACTGTGAGCAACTAACTTCACATCTACACCTAATGTTGTGTAGATAAACTAGATAACACATGCTCTGTATGTTGTAAAGGGCTTTGTACAGGCCAGTTTCTCTTGTGGTTTCTACGAATAAGAAAGTTAAATAAGGAAAAGCTAGATGACAAGAGGTGGGCTAGAAGGGGTCAATGGGTGGGGGGAGGGGACATATGTAATACTTTCAACAATAAAGATTTAAAAAGAAAAGCAAGAAAGCTAGGTGATATAGGCACAATCATTGGACTAATTAGAGGCAGAGTTGGGACTAAAACCTAGGTCTCCAAACTCTCAGTTGAGGGATGGGGATGGGAGGGAAGGTCAAATATTATGGGCACAACCTTCTTAAGGAAGCCAAACAGGAACTAAAAGAGGCAAGAGTTGTTGGCTGGGGAAGCAGAGGAGGAAGGGATTTATTGTTGAAGAGGTCAGGTGTTTACACTGGGTTTTGCAGAGTGTATGGGAGATTATGGGAAAGAATGTTCCAAGTGGAGAGGATGGCATGAGAAAAGGCCTGAAGGGTCCATGAAGTAGAAGACAAGACTAGGGAGGGTCTCCAAGGCCATGTTAGATAACTTGACGGTCCTATCCTAAAACTTTGACAGTCAAAGTTTTCTAATAAAGAGACATGGAAGTTTTCTTTACTAAAGGAAAATATCTGGGTACATTTATGCATGAGTGCTAGACCCCGTGGGAGGAAGACAGGATACGCATGCCTGAGTTTGGGCAGTGGGGCATGCTGCTGCTGCTGACGTATCGCTCAGGGCTGAAGAGCTCTCAGTCCAGCTGGGAACCCACAGAGCAGTTGACACTCCACAGTAGCAGATATATGGTAAATATATGCTCTCCTGAGTGAGCCAGGCAGGTGGCACCAACCGTGTTAGAAATGTAAGTCAGAAACAATACTCAGTCTAGCTCCTGCAGCCTTGTCCAGGCTTCTATCCAGACATCCTCCAAGTGTTCTTCTGTTTTTATATTTATAAGCAGGTAGAAAGTCAGAGGTAGGAGGGATGTTGGTGGGTGGTCATCTGAACTTGTCCTCTTGTGTGGTCCTGATAATCAGTTGGGTCCTTGACCCCCAGCCAAGCTCTAACCACGCTCATACTGCCTCCTTTGTCCAGCAGCTTAGCTCTGGTTTGACTTGGCAAACAGTGAGATTATTTTTGATTGGAGGGGGTAGGATGCTTAAAACCCAGCAAATCACCCAGGACTGCATATGTGTCCAAGTCTTTTGTTCTTATGCTGTCAGCACACATCTATCTCCCATGCGGGTCCATCTGCCACTTAACTTTCACAAGCTGTGCTATGAGTTTTCCTTGGTTTGAAGCTTGGCCTTGGAGGTCAAATTCACAGAGGAAATTTCTGGATTCAGTTGGAGAGGGCAAATACCCTATCTCTCCCCTTAACGACCCCTTTAATTTTGGGCTTTCAAAGCTATGTAGCTATCAATCAATGAATCTTCATAGACCCTTTGTAAAGAAGAGCTTATAACTTGTTACCACCTGATTTACTATATTCTTAAGAATGGAAGGATTTTCAAAGGACAAGCAGGAAGAGAAACAAACAAACCAATGTTAGCCACTACCTCCTCCCTTGGTCAAGTTCTGGAAACTGGGTGGTACAGACTCAGAAAGCCTGAGGCTCCTGACCTTACATTCTTGACTCAGCTTAACTCAGTAGTGCCTCTATATGCACTAGTGCTAATCTAGGAGGTCCAGCCAACCCCCCCTCCCCTCCCCCAGCAGTTACTATGGGCTTCTAGAGACCAATCTGCTACCAGGTCCTACCAGGGAGGATCAGGAATGCTAGCTCTGAACTCTGGCTGCATATTAGAATCACAGGGGACTTTTTAAAAGTACCAACCACCTCTATATCAGAATCCAGGGAAGGCTGGGGAAGGGTGTAGTATTGGTCAAAGCTCCCACACAACTCCCACATGAAGCCAGAATTAAGAACCACTGATTTAGAAGAACCAAGACCCCAGAATCTGGCTTCCAGGTCCTGCCGATGAAGGTTTCTCTTGCTCTGGTCCCTCCTAATACTGCCCTCCTCTGGTTCTCAGTGATGCCTTCGGCTCCGTACTGGGTCCTGGCCACCGACTACGAGAACTACGCCCTCGTGTACTCCTGTACCACAATCGTCTGGCTGTTTCATGTAGATCATGTTTGGATCTTGGGAAGAAACCCATATCTCCCTCCAGAAACAGTGACCCATCTAAAAGATATCCTGACCTCTAATAACATTGACATCGAGAAAATGACCATCACAGATCAAGGGAACTGCCCCGAGTTCCTGTAATGAGGCAGGAGGCTGCATTCACCCCATGTTCCTTCTTTTGCTTTGCTTTTCCCCCACCCATCCACCTCTCATGACAATAAGCCAACCCACCATGGCAAACCATCGCAACTACAGAAGGAAACTTAACAGCAGGAGCCAGTGGAGAGGAACTCAAGGAAAATTGGCCCAAACACTTAGACGTACACTACCTGTTTCCTTGCATGCCTAATAATAAACTTTTTTGCTGACCTGCTGTACTCACAGTAAATTCTGATTTGGAACAATTATTGTGGATTTTAGTTATAAATTTATGTTTGGAAATTCTTAATCAGTTGTGTTGGAAAAAAAAAACAAACAAACACCTAAGTACTGAACAGTTTAAGTTTAAAGGTAACAATCCTGTTTCTGGAAAAGGAAAGCTGATGGCAAAGACATATTATGGATGACATGGATCCACGTGCCCCTTCTGCATCAGGTGCTCCTTTGGGAAAAATCACTTAGGGTTTTTGAGTCTCTGACAGGCAGTTTCCTTGAAGCATTTATTTTCTTATCAGGAGGTCTTCAGAGTCAGGCTGAAGAATGGGACCATCTTGGGTCTGTGCAAGAAAGAAGAGAATCTATCAGGGAGAACTTATGGGAAGTTTTTTAAGAAAAATTTTTTTGGGGGAGGTGTCTTTCATTCAGCTGATATTTACTGAAGTCCAACTGCATTCCAGGCATTAAAAGCACAGAATCCCTGTCCTCCCACAGAGGTTCACAGGCCAGCGAGGGAGCCTGACGAGTTAAAATGAAATTATAATCCAAGCTGAAGAATGCAGAGTGGCATGAGAGGCATGTGGAGGAGCCATGGGAGCTCCAAGAGTCTCCAACCCTGCAAGATACAGGCACCCACAAGGTTGTACAGTCACGCCTCCGGGGTTCCAGCTTCAGGGAGTCAGGAACCTCCTTGAGATATTTTTATATTGTGACTTTCGAAAGCAAAAAGACCCTAGAATTATTACCCTGCAATTTCATTTAGCTCAGGTAATATTTATCATCTACTCCTGTGTAGGGAAATGAATAGAAAATGAAACCATATGATTTTTGCCTTTTCAGCCTGAATATAAAATATTAATTTCCTTGAGCACTTGAGACACTTTAATACTTTATATTGAAGGTTACAAAAATTCCAAGGATCTTAATATGTACAATTTTCATTTTGCTAACTACATAAGATCTCAAAATGTAGCTTTTAGTTTGAAATTCTTAAAGGCTGAACCACTGGGCAAAAAGACGGTACAGAGGAGGTAGGAATTGAAGGAGAAGACCCTCTCTTCCCAGCTGTGCCTGCTGCTGTGCCCAGCGCTTTATCATACTGCCCACTCCACCGCAGGGCACGTGGCTCCTCTGCTAAAATATAGTTCTTCCCAAGAGTGTTAAGCTGCTTATCTAGCTCTTATCTCATGATCCAAAGTAAGTTGTGATCGCATTCCTCTTAATAGCTGTCTGGTAACATCTAAAGCAATGAGCATGACTACACGTTGTACCTGTTCCAGTGCCTTGCCCTATACATAGGCTCAAATTTTTTATTTAAATGAATTATTGAATGCGTGAATAGAGAATGGACTTGAAGTTTTTGGTGTTTTTTTTTTTTTAAAGGAAAAGGAAACTATTAAACAGGTATTAGGGATGACTGAATCTGAGGGGGAAAAAATTGGGAATCCAGAGGGCGGCATGGGGGAAGCAAGTGTCTAGAAGAAACATGGGGGAAACAACAAAAAATCCTAAAGGCAAGTGGGAAATAAATAGCTCAATAAAGACAATAGTATATAATAAATCCCCTGTGCCTACCTTCAGCTCCAACAGTCACCAACGTTTCACCACCATTGCTTCAGCTATCACCCACCCACCCCCAATTTTTTAGAGTGTTTTGAAGCAAACCCAAGGTATCACATCCTATTATTTTTCCCATGGCTATCTATGTATAAATCTCTAGCAAATACACTTTATAAACAAACAACAAAAAAACAAGGTTATGCTTTGTATCTTGAAGGTGCTCCGAGGATGCAATCGCTATGTAATTTAAAAATTATTTTACATAATCTGGGCAAAGGGGACTATGTATGCACAAATGTTCAGCATAGTTTCACTTGTAGCCCCCTAATTGAAAGGAGTTAAACTAAAAGAGCAGAGGAATCCTATATAATAAGGAGCTAATATGCTAATTAGGCCAAACAGCAGAACAACAGTCCGGATTTGGGGGCTTCGAGGGCCGGCCAAGGCAGCCAGGGCTGTGAGGGCCTAGCCTCTTGCACGAATTTCGTGCATTGGGCCTCTAGTGGGATCATAAATTATGGAATAGCCATTAGATGTAATGTTGGGCATTCTTTAAAAGACTACACAATCATATCGGAGCTGGTGCCTGCCTACCCACACTCACTGCTAGGAGGAGGGAGGGTAGTTCCTGCATATCCTTTGCTGTCTGTAGTGCTAGAATCTAGAGCATGTGTTCCACCTTCCCACTCATGCCCGAGTGGACCAAGGTATGTCAACCTGAGTTAGTGACGGCCAATCCATGGGATAAACAGAAACCTCTGATTTGTTTGTGGCCTAACTGAATGGAAAAGATAAATTAGGCAAACCAAATCAGGATTTGGCTTTAAGTGATCTAGAAAGAGATGACTGAAAATTGTGGAACTGTAGTCATGCAGTCTGGGATGGCCATTATTGACAATGAACATCTGAAGTTAGGAGAGTACGGAACAGAAATGCAAAAATAAGCAGGGACCCCATTAAAGGCCCCTGAAGGAGCAGCTTCAGTGACTGATGGCTTTCTGGGTTCCCGCTCCAATGCCTCTGGAGCTTCACCACTTAGGTTCCTGTCCTTGAATATTTCTAAGTTTAAGTGCGTGCACACACACACACACACACACACACACCTTTTTTCTCAGGTAATATAACTTGACTAAGTTAATGTTCCTTGCAACCAAAATAGCTCTAAGACAAAACTGTTCACAATATAATGTTGAGTTAAAAAAAGAAAGCAGGATTTTAACTATGTTGTATTTAAAGTTACTTGAAATGATGGCATAAAGTCAAGGACTAACAGTTAACAGAAACAAAAAAAGAAAGCAATGAGTGTGTTAGAATGGTAGAATTACAAGGTGATTTTTAAATTTTTTATTTATTTGTTTGTTTATTTTTGGCTATTGGTATTTATAGTGTAGTTCCAAAACTTTAGACCCTAAAACTTCCTTCTAGTTCAACCTGATTTCTCTGGCAAGTCTAGTGTCAAGCCACCCCAAATAGGCATTTTCTTCCAACAATTATCTCAGACTTTGAGACCCCTCTGGACTATTCTTCCATCCCACCACTCTCCTAACGCATCTGAGAGGATGGCTTAGTTTATGAATATAGGACATGTTATTAAAGCAATCTTTACTACCAGCAAGTTCCTCTGCACACTTCTAGGAGACATGAAGGGAGATATCAAGTAATTTAGAAAGTTTTTATTTTCATACTTGTCTAAACATTATGTTACTTTAGAAAAGATTTCCAAAAAAGACCATTCACCTTGAGAATTATGAAAAACTATTAAAGTGTTTTAAAAATGTATTAAATATGGTCAACTTTAATATTAAAATCATTGTTTTGACTCACTACCAAATAAGAAATTGAAATAGACTCAATAACACTGGTTATCTAATGTTTTCCAACCAAACAAGGTAATCTGAACTGTTGGAGAGGCCCTGTGGCAGAGGGGTCTAGCACTTTTCCAGCCGGGACTCGGTAGCCTCCAACCCCAGCAGGCCTCTTCCCCTCACAGGCTGTCCCCTCAACTATGTGTCATAGTTGAAAGAGCCAAAATAGATGAGGTTTCTCTAACATTTATAGTTCTAAAGGTTTGTATGTGATTAATAAAGTACAATTTTTGCTAAGAAGGAGGGAGTACCTGTACCTTTATAGGAAAAATAAGCCATAAACTTAAAAAAACAACTCTTTTCATGTTTTGTGCCTTTTTCTAATCTTTATCAAGGTACACACACACACACACACACACATACACACACACACACACTGTATTCTGTTTTTTAAACAATATTTATGTCTTTTTTTCATACTATGAATTAGTTGGATGTACTAGTATATGTTTTTCCACAGAATGCACACATTTTACCAATATAACATATTATATTCTATTAGTGCACTAGAAGTATTATATTTAATTCTCCTGAATTTTCCTACATTGGTAATTTAATTAAAATATAGAAAGGCCAAGCTTAGCCACCTCTTCAGCAATCTCAATGATCCAGAGACCCAGGGGAGCAATAGCTCACTGAATTATGAAGTGCTCCTCAGTGAGCAAGGTTGGAAGGACACTTGAGGCAAGTGCTGTCAGAGGCCAAAGCTCAACACACATGGTCAAATATGTAAACCTTTATTCCAAATCTCTTAACCTAAGAGACCGAAGCCTAACGATGCTCTGGATACCTGCAGAAAGGTAGGTGCTCAGCTTCTGCTCAGACATTTTCGGTGCCCCTTGACTGACGTGTACTCTCCTGTCTGACATCCCAGCCCTCGCAGTGGTCCTCCCAGCCAAGCTTTCCGGCCTCTTCTCTCTCTGTTTCTTCCCAGATACCAGTCTACTGGTTCTCAACCAAAACATGCCACAATTTCCTGGGAGAATGTATCAGTTCCTTGGGAAGACATCCTCATATGTGGAGAGAGTGGGCAAAAAACAGCAAAGATTGCAAAAATTCCCCCGAAAAATCCAGGTTTGCTTTCATGCCTCAACTGAGAGCCATTCCTTTGTCAAAGAGAACTGACTACTTACCACTCCCTGTGTCTCCCATCTCTACAACTTTGGTACACATCATTCCTCTTATTAAAATCTCCAGCTGTCAAAATCCAACCCACCAAATGTACATCAGTACTTTTGCAGAGCAATTTGACAAACTCTGGCAGAGATGAAGATGACACACCTTTGATCTAGTAATTCTATTTTTGGTAAAAATCCTAGAAACATTCTTGCACCTGAGCACAAGGAGATATGTGCAAAAAAAATGTTTATTACATCTCTGTTTGAAAGACCAAGAAACTAGAACAACCTAAATGTCTATCAACTGAAATTTTTATTTTAAAATTGTGGTATACACACACACACACACACACACACACACACACACACACCTGGGAATACTATGCAATAGTGAAAATGAACTAGAGCTATATGTAGCAACATATCCTATCTAATAATAGACAAACATGATAATTGACCATACCTTCGCTACGCCTCTCATTGGCTAAT